TTTCAGTCCAGGAGCACCTTAGTGACCAACAAGATCTTCAGTGTCTGAGGTTTCCAGAGTTAAAGCTCCCTTTGTCAGAGATCCCTTTAGGTAGGAGCTTTCGGCTCTTGAAAAATCATACCCTGAAAGTCTCGTCGGCCTCTAAAATCTCTTATGTTCTCTTATGTTGTTATGTTCTCTTATGTTCTACTGCAGACCAATACGGCTACCCTCAGAATATTCCATTATAGGCAAGCCCAAGCTGTGTACATGCAACACTGTGTTGTCTGTGCAACTCTAGTAGACACACAGATGCCCAGCAAGCAAAATCAGCTAGGATCTTCGTGACCTTAGACTACCTTCACCAGAATCAAGTGGTAAAGCTTGTTTCTGGAATTACCACTTAAGGCTGCAAGTAAATGTTTGTAAGTTTAAATGCGCCCCCAAGGGGGGGAAACATAGAAAACATAGAAAAATAGCATCCCAGGGAAAGGACAGACAGAATTCATAACTAACTAGTTTTCTGCTTACAGAGGTGTTGTTTTTTTAAAATAAGCATTCAAATATGTGGCCATCCACTGCAGCTTGAAGTGACAGATCCCAGGGCAAAATTTATTTTGTGTGGTGTATAAACCTTCCCCCAGCATATACAACTTGCAAAATCCTTGAATCAGCGATATTAAATCATGACCACTGGAAAGAAAATCCTGATTATTATCAAGAAGAGGTTTCCTAGTTTTAATTATCTGCTCTCGTTTTAGCAGCACTTCTAATACATAGCGTACATTCACAGTCTTCATCCCAAATGGTCATATATCCGCACTAGCCCGAACCTGCAATGTGGAGATGAGTCAACGCACAGTTGAACTACCTGACTCACACTGTGCCGCATGCAAGTTTTACACTGGATGTGCAAACCACCGTAGGTGTGCAATAAGAGCCGAATTTTTCGTTGCGCGAACCAGCTTTTTGTCACATTCGTACAAAAGGAAAAAGCTGCCCCTTTACCCAGCATTTCTGGGGGAAAGAAAGTTAAAGCCAAACATCCTGAGGCAATTATAAAAAAAGGCATGTACAAATCCAGCCTTCCGTAAATTACCGCGTGGCCTCGAGCACTGATGAATTGAACAGAGACAAAAACACACGCCGCCCCCTTGCTGGCTGGGTCCTCCTGGCTCAGTCTTTGTTGAAGTTAATCAATCTGACAGGTACCTTCATATTCGCACTCCGACGATAAATCAAGTAAATCAACATTCTCCCTGCCACCGCCATCGTCCCGCCTGGAGCCCCGGCAAAGCCGCATGAAGATGGATCTTTGTTGGCGTTGAAGCGTCGGTGGCGGCTGCCTGGCCACAACAGAGCATGAAGGCCCAGGACAGCTGATTAATACAAACTTAATCTTTCAAAGTATTCGCTTCAGAACTCGTGTTGTTGTTGTTTTGCTTGACATCTCTCCCACCAACCCCCCCCCCGTATTTAAAGGGTAGGGGGGAGGTATAGTGTCTCCAAACGTTTCTTAAGCTTATACAGTGGGTTGCTACCAAAGCAGGCAAATCAGTAACATAAGCCCTGTGTGAAGTTTACACCATTGCTGTTTGATTCCCTCTGCTAAGGTATCGATGCACAATATGTCGGTGGAAAGGAACCCCTGGTGGCTGGTAGGGAAGTGGAAAAACACCTTGCAATAAAAGGGGTAATGGGGTTATTGTCGAAGAGACTAAAGCTGTTCAGCAGATCCACCCTTCTGATCCCCTCACTGAAACGAAATATCTCTGGTGGTTTCACTGTGTCTTTTACCACCTCCAACGGCCTAGTGGACACAATGGAGGATAAAAAAAGAAATAAATTAAAGGACAAGCAGGTGCTCTGGAACCGAATGAAATGCTGCTTAATTTGAGGGTTGGAGGCTCAGCTGTTTGGTGGTAAAACTGAGCTGTGTTTCAGGAGGGGGAATTTAGGGCTTTTCAAGGAAGCCAACGGACTCTTTGGATGATTTCATACCGCCACCCACCTCTTTCGAAATTATCACTTCTTTTTTTTTTTTTGGCAACTGTCATCACAACTGCAGGTGCTTTTATGAATCACAGGCAAAAAAGAGGGGGAAGCTTGATCCTGCTGAGATGGAGAATGAGACATTTAAAGATCATCAGGAGATCTGTTATTGATACTTCCTTAGGACGGCGCATCATCGTAGCATATGGCCTTTTGAAAAAACGTTTCAGAAAGACAAAATGGATTCCTTTACTGCTACAGTAAGGGGGGAAAGGTGAACACAGTAAAAATGGATAGAGGTTCACACTTCATCATGTCTGGGAAATGTTTGATATCATACAGAGAGGGGCTGGGAAAGACAGGCAGCGCTTCTGCATTAGAAAGAGGCAACGGGATCATGCGACTTATGAGCGGTGCTCTCCATTGCGGTTGCAGCGGCTGGGGTTAGACTCTGACTGGGAGAACTTCATTCCCGACTCAGGGCAAATCCAGACTACAAAGTGAAAGCTCTGACGCCTTGTGTCTTCTGCATTTTTTTAACATGTCAGTTTGTAGTCCCAGGCAGCTGCTCTGAATATCAGGGAAGAGGAAAGAGAGGCTTTAACCGTTTCCTCCCAAGCCTCTTCCCTTATTTAAAACATCTCTCCAAATCTCTTCTGTTAAGGTGTCTGAATGCAAGTATTTTCCCACAGGAGCTAACTGCAGCTATTAAGCGGGGTGGTCGTGGGGAATGTTGCTTTGGCACTTATAATCCAATAACAATTAAAAATATGACTTGGGAAAGGAGTCTGCAAACCTAAAACACCCCCGCAATAGCGATAATCATGGTGAAAATGTAAGAAGGATGTAAGAAGAGCCCTGCTGGATCAGGCTAATGGTTCATCTAGTCCAGCCTCCTGTCTCACACTGTGGCCAACCAGTTCCCCTGGAGGGCCGACAACAGGGCATAGAAGCCGAGGCCTTCCTTTTATGTTGCCTCCCAGCTGTGGGATTCAGAGGGTTAGTATTTCAAGAAGAGGCTGGATGTCTGAGCCCCTCTGTCAGACATCTTTGTCAGAGATGCTTTAGGCTGGTCCTGCATTGGGCAGGGGGTTTGACTAGATGGTCTGTATGGCCCCTTCCAACTCTATGATTCTATGAGCTCTGAACGTGAAGGTTCCCCTCAGTCGCCATGGTTAGTAGCCATCGATACGCTTATCCTCTGTCAATCCAGCTAATCCCCTTTCAACGCTGTCTATGCCTATGGTCATCACTACATAAAATTAACATGAAATTAACAGGAAATTAAGCAAACTCTGGAGCACGACGGAAGACAGGAGGGCCTGGCGTGATGTGGTCCATGGGGTCGCGAAGAGTCGGACTCGACTGTGCAACTGAACAACAACAAACATAAAGTCCAACATGATGGAAAGGGGCCTGGCTCCTGCCTTCCTTTGCTGTGATGGCTTCAGCAACAGCAGCTGGGAACAGGAGAGAAGGGTGCACTGCCTTCCACATCCTGCTCTTTCCTGCCCACACACAACTATTCCTCATGGCTGATGAAAGGAGTCTAACAGAGGAAACTGACAACGCCACAAAGAAATATTGCATTTTGTCTATTGAATGTTCAGCTCATGGAGATCACTGGGTACCTTTCAGCCAGCCATTAGCTTCACCTTCCTCACAGGACTGTAATGGGGAGGGGTGGTGGTGGAATGAGATCACCCCATCCATGTGTGCCACTCTGGACTCCTCAGAAGAATGGTGTCTAAGATGAGGGATTCATGATATTTGAGATATGGAAGTTCTTACGCTAATACTGATCTTCACATTGAAAAATGCTAATTCACTTCATGAATAGTCTGGAAAGCACTGCAAGCAAGGATGTCCAAGGCCCTGTTGGTTCAGCTCCCATACTGCACCCCAGTCATGATCAGAGAATGATTGTTCAGTGGGGGGAAAAGAGGGATATGAGTGATGGAATTCAGAGGTGTCTGTTTTGTACAATTATACTGTTTTCTCATACAATTCAAGAGCTTTCTGACAACTGTCACCTGTCTATTGCCACCTTCAATTGTTAAAGTAACAAGGAAAAAAATCTGTGAGAACTTTGCTTTGAGACTTACTACTTAGTTTCCCTCCGTGCCATTGGTGTCTGCCCATGAACCTAGCTAATCTTTCAATTGGTTCTTCCAAACATTTCTCAAATACATGCTGTTGATTGCACAGCCACAAAATACAAGTAATGGAATCTAGCTGAGGCAGGACGCGTAAAGGAGGCATCTGCCTGCACAGGTGCAAAGAAGGGATGAACTGCAGATGATTCCATGCTTTCCGCACAAATTGGTCACTTTGATGACCCAACCATGACCCCGAGGGTATGTGCCTCTTTCCTGTCCATCAACATTTAATTTGCACAGTGGGCAAAAGCAGCTGCAAACGCGGCTACTGTGCAGGCGAAAAGCTCCTGTAGATAAACCGTGACAATGATAATCACAGTGATCCAATCAAGTGTGTAACCAAGGGAGTTTGCGGAAGCTTTTGCCTGATGAATATGAATATGTTTGTGTTGAAGTTTCTACCAGGTCTACTGTAAGTTCCAGGAGCATATCAATCAGTGTGATCTCAGGTAGCAGAGGCTGGGAATAGTTGTGTGGTTTTTTTTGGCCTCTTGGAGAGTCACTGCTGGTCAGAGCAGACAGTCCTGAGCTAGATAGAGCAATGATCTGACCTGTGGACCTTTTGGGCGGTCTTGTCTTTTCTCCCTGTGTTTGCATACCTGATGGGCAGATACTCTTGGCTCTCAGGACCCCTTCACCATTGCACAAAGTAATTTCCTAAGGCATGGTGGCAGTTCTGCTTTTGCACATTAATAAGCCTCAGTTCAGAATCTGATAATTACCACTGTTATGTTTACACCTCGAAAGCCCTGTAATATATGAACGGCCTGAGACCCTTGAAGAGAACTCTGGATTCAACGCAGACAATATAATTCACAACTCCCACACAAATGCCAATGTGTTTGGAGTGGGGAAGTAATATTATCCTACCTGAGTGCTTGCCACATTTGTTCCATCGGTGACCTCCACAGTCATGTTGTATACTGATCTCTGCTCCGCATCCAATGGCTTGGCGATGACAATGGTCCCGACGCCTTTATCCGCGTCAAAAGAGCTATCAAAGTTCCCGCCTAGTTGTTACAACAAAAGGTACAGTTACATTCCTGGAATGTTTTCCTTAAAAATACAAACAACCCGACGATGAGTACAGGCCAAGGTATGGTAATTTACAGAGAAGCGCTGCATGTAACAAGCACTGCACATTTAGCAATCTTTGTTGGGAGTTAATTTTTCTTTTCAGGCACCGTTTGTATGTTGTAAAACAGATGTCATAAAGGTGGGGAAAGAGAAACAACTTATACGACAGACAAAAGCGTCCAGGCAAGGCATAATTGATTCCTTAAAAGGGCTTTATGAAGCTATTAACCTGTACCGACTTATCCTCTTGTTAGCGTGAACAAGGACTTTTCTTCTTTATGAGAAATTCATTTGGGAGCAAGATTTGCGTATTGTTTATGTGACAGTTCCTCAGAACTCAATAGCCACCACCAAGGGCTGCTGGCACAGCTTTCAAACCAATGTGAGTACTTCAGTTAAGGGAGGGGACTAAAAGGGGGACTCACCTATCTGGTCTGAGGATAACTGCATAGGCCAGTCCCCAAGGTTCTGTCACACTGTAGTGTGACCATGAACAAAACTCGGACAGGGCTATGCAGATGAGGGGGAGGGGCCATGCAAATACCAGCTGGTTTCACTGTGTGGGCACAAAGCTGGGTTATCCCTCCCTTTGTTGTGGTCCTTCAAGTGCCATGCTTCATTCTTTCCATGTAAGGAAATGGTTGCTGAACTCTATGCTGCTGTGGGGAGGATGAAACCTGTCTTCCTGCCTGCACTAACAAGGACACCACATGTCATGCATTGTGTCTATTTATTTGCCCTGCATTTCTGTGCCCAGAATGCACTGGACCTGCCTAGCAATCCTTGCTGTATGGAAGCTCTCCTGACTCACATATCACCTGTTATATAATAACCTGCATTTCGCTAGTCAGAGATACTGGGCAACGAGGCTCCAATTACAAGCCTCTTAGGAAGGACTTGAGACCAATCACTGGGAAATTATCCTCTGGATTCTATTTCAAAAAAATATTTGGACCCAAGCTTCCTGATGTTATTTCGCACCTTGGCTAAATTAAATACTCCTACATCGATGTGACAGTACCGATTTTGTGAATCTTGCCATATGGACTGAGAAAGTAATAACTTGGGGCTACAGAGGGAAGGCAGCATGGTATAACCCAATCTTGACAGGTCTCAGAAGCTAAGCAGGCTCAATACTTAGATGGGAGACCACCAAAGGAAGATACTGCAGAGGAAGGCAATGGCAAGCCACGCCCACTTCTCAACGGCCTTGAAAGCCCCTTGATGAGGTCTCCATAAGTCAGTTGCAACTTGATAGTACTTATGTACATACAGAATTACTGCACAGAACCAGTCAATATATTAAGAAATACAACTGCTCATAGGGATCCCAGCCCTCCGGTCCAGGAGAGGGATCCCTCGATTTGGAGCACGTTTCCCTGCTGCTGGCCAGCTGGCTGGATGGGGGGGGGGGCAATCCCACCTCCAAATGACATTTTGGGACATTTGGACATTTGGGTTTTACCGGAAGTACCATCCCTGATGTGAAGACATCACATGGGAGTGATGTCATCACATCAGAAATGTCACGTGGGGGACGCTTTTGGTATTTCGGCAAACTCTATGGTTTTGAGGGCAAAAAACCCACAGAGTTTTGCCCAAATATCAGAGCATCCCCACACGATGTTTCTGGTGCGATGACGTCACTTCCGGGTGACGGCATCACATTGGGGATGTCGCAAGACATCCCCCCATCTCCCGAAACACCCTCCCCCAAGCCCCCCACTGGCAAAGGTAAGGGACTTGGCAACACTAACTGTTCAAAATGAACAAGTATTTCATTTTGTCTGCTTTTCTTTCAAATTTATACAGTGGGAAACTCTGCAATTGGAATGTAGAAAAGAGCCGGCATGCATCTAGGAGGTGCAAAACTACCATCATGCTTCTGATACAAAATCCTGGTGTTGCTTCCCAACAAACACAAGGGCTTTGTCATATGTGGACTAGTCTTGAGAAGCTCAGAGAAGCCTGCATGGACAGGGGAAGTTTCGAGGTCCTTTTATATACACAAGAGTCCAGTAGCACCTTAAAGACTAAAAACAATTGTGGCAGGGTATGAGTTTTCATGAGTCACTGCTTACTTCTGATATAGCTAGTTGTATCTGAAGAAGTGAGGAGTGACTCACAAAAGCTCATACCCTGCCACAATTTTGTTAGTTTCTAAGACGCTACTGGACCCTTGCTCTTTTCCGCTACTACAGACAGACTATCCTGTTACATACACAAGTACTAGTTAGGTCTGGCATGCATGCTCAACTCAGAATATATTGAAGATACAGCAAGAACCACAAGACCTTTCAAAACTGAAACAACATTTTTATAATCTTTAATTCTAAGCGTGATTGGTGCTATTGGTTCATCATGTTTGGGTGTTTCCAGAAGGCTCAGAGTAACAAGAGTTCACTGTTCCTGTGAAGGCCACCCAAGAATGCTACTGAAATTTAAGAAGAGAAATTGAGCTTCTCCTTTTTCACTACTCAGGACCAAGGGGGCAGAAATCTGCTAAGAAGCCAGATAAGAGGGGTGTAGTTAAGGAAATACAGAAGGGAACTCCTGATGCTGAGTCAGACCCCTGCTTCCTGTAGCCTAGGACTCTCTATCTGAACTGGAAGCAACTCTCCTGGCTCTTGGGAGGGAATCCTTCACAGCCGCTGCTTATCTTTATTCAGTTGAGATGCTAGGGTTTGAATGTGGAGTTCGAGGAATGAGAAGCAGATGTTCTAACACGAAACCACGGCCTCACTCTTATCCTAGGAAGATGCTCCTTAGTACCTAGCATAATTCTCCCCCTGTATCTTCCTTTCCCCATAACTGAATGCTGCACTGAGAACCTTATGCTCATGTGACGTCTTGCCAAAAGCACATCTATTCTATTCCCCACACCCTTCTATGCATGCCTAAATGACTTCTCTCGCCTCAGCTGTGCTATACACTGAACACCATTTAATTGTAAGCGAATACATAATTGTTCTTGACATTTAATTAAAATTCTGAAGATACCAAGGTATTAAAACATTTCTATTGGATTATATGCTTTTCATTATTTGTTTGAAGCCAAACTCTTCCTTTCCTTTCAACAGGATAAAAAAAAAAATAGACCATCTCTCAATCCACTCGAGGGGGGGGAGAATCTTTTTGGAGACAAGAGTTGCAGATCTTTTAATGCAGAAATTTGCGATGAAATGAGGCTCGCCTTGGGACAGGCAGATATTTTTTTAAAGGAATGTTTTTTACTGATAACCCATGGGGGAGAGAGACTATTATATTCCTTACTTTGTAGCCATCTTAATGAGCAATCAGAAAATCAGACTCACATCACACTTCTAAGAAAACGTTGCGCTTGTAAGTCAAAAGGAATTAGAATGGAAAGATATTATGATACAGGACTTCCAAATGCTCCTTCTTTTGTCCATAAAATGAGTATTAGAACAGGAGGTGGGGAGGCGGGGAGCCCAGAGTCTGATGAATGGTGTAAGTACGTTTTGTATTATGAGTATATAACTGTTGTTAAACAACTTCTTAAGCACAATCACTACACCGTTTTCCATTTGTTTAGTGTGTGTTTTTCTGGATTAACCTTTGGAATTCTGACACGGGGTGGTGGTGGGCACAGCCACAAGATGGCTCCTGTAGGAGCTGGAGCTGTACACAAACACACAAAGGAAGTCCAAGAACAGGAGAGAGGAGGGGTACTTTAATCTGTACAGTCAATCAGACCACCAGTGGCCTATCAGAAGGTGTGCTGGGCAAAAGCTATCACCTGGCTCCACCCCCAGAAATGTGTTACGCTCGGGAGATCAGAATTTATTGGTGATCCCTGGCCCAAGAGACGTCTGCCTGTCCTCGACCAGAGCCAGGGCTTTCTCTACCCTGGCTCCAACCTGGTGGAACTCTCTGCCGAGTGGGATTCCCTGTGGGATTCCGCTGGGTGTGCAAGGCAGGGATGTTCTGCCAGGCCTTTGGTTGAGGACGGCAACGGTCCCGTCTTGGCACTCCTGTCCACCACCCCACCACCCCTTCCCCCAAGAGGCAGTGGCACTATTAGGATTTTAGCGCCATCTACAGCTAATCAGATTACCGGATTGAGCAGACTGGTTATGATGTTTTACTGTTTTAGCCTGAGCTTAAATTGTTTTATGCAATATTTTATCTGATTGTGTTGTACACCGCCCTAAACCCGGTCCTACTTGGGACCTTGTGTAAGTTAAGGAGATATACCACATACATGTACCCCACTACTCTTTCTTTCTTTCTTTCTTTCTTTCTTTCTTTCTTTCTTTCTTTCTTTCTTTCTTTCTTTCTTTCTTTCTTTCTTTTTCTTTCTTCCTTCCTTCCTTCCTTTTTTCTTCCTTCCTTCCTTCCTTCCTTCCCTTCCTTCCTCTTTCTCTCTTTCTCTCTCTCTTTCTTTCTTTCTTTCTTTCTTTCTTTCTTTCTTTCTTTCTTTCTTTCTTTCATACAAAAAACCCCTTTATTTAACGGTAATTGTGGTAGGAGCACCTGGAAATCCTGAAAAGAGCAGCTCCATGTACTGGTGGTCATGAACACCTTATTCCCACCATCTCTCTGACCAGCTTTCAGAACAACATCTATGAACGTTGCTTTCCCCACTGTTTGCCACTGCCAATCGAACGCTGCCCATTCAGACAGGCTGGGAAGGGCAAACACCGGGTTGCCTGGGAGGGGAGGGGGAGAGGCTTGGTAGGAATTTGAAGAGGAGGAGGTGAGTTTGGAGGGAAATGTTAAATTGGGCCTCTCTACCAGATTCTCTTCTCCAAATTGTGCCTTCTGAAATCTTCTCCCTCCCTCTGTCCTTATATCAAGGGTCTGCCACATTACTTTTGTGTAACTTGCCCCTCAGAGGTTCTTCCCAAGGCAACTGTCCTTCAGCCTCACATTCCGTGCCCCAGGTAAACTTCAGTTCCTAGAAGTCAGG